CAAGACTATGGCATCCCAATCCTCGCTACCCACGATGTTTCCGGCGCTCATCGTCCACTACCATTTCCTTTTCTCCCTTCATATTAGGGAAGCATTCGACCCTGCCGGACGAACGCGATGACTTTGCGCCATCAGAATATGAGATCGAAGAGGCCTCGGCGGCTGATTCCACTCATGGAGCTAGAAAACTGGTGTCCATGCAAGCACTGTTGGAAGAAAACAATCCTGATCGGATACTCCTAGGACTAGTGACTTCTCGGATCGGGGACGATTTCATCGAAAATGCGGATGACGAGACCTTTGCACGCGCTATATGCGCATTGGACCCCGAACATTTCATCGTCCCTTATGGAAAGCTATTTCGATACCTAAAGCCGAGTCTGGAAACCCAGCCAAAGTTTCGAATCGTCAGATCACTGGAAGAGCGTGTAGCTACATTTATAAACATTCTCGACTCCTTAGTCACCCAACGACAAAAACATGGCTATTCCCTTGGCCTTGACATATATCGCCATTTATTACGCTGCACAGCGGCAGCTGGAGTGGGATCTTTTGCCAGGAATGTGTTCCGCAAGGCCATGCCAGAAGACGATGTTGAACCTGATTTGGACTGTTACAACTACTTCATGGAGGCCCTCACCTGGAACGAAGCATATAACAGACACGAAAGATACCGATTAAGGATAGTCCGGCATAACATGTTTCGTCGGTCCTTGGAGAACAGACCACTCGGCTTCTTCGGTCATGGAGTTGCCTCACCCAAAAATCCCAAAAACGAACAATCAATTAGGCTGGAAACGCTGAGTATCTTCAACGAGCTCGTGAACCGGGGGTTGAATGGCAATGAGGCGACCTTTTGCAACCTGATGGTCGCAATGGGTCGTGAAGGAGACCTAGGCAGCGTCAAGAGCGTCCTAAAATCGGCATGGAATATTGACGTTGATGCCCTGGACAAGTACGATGAGGAGGAATTGGAGAGTCCGACATTCTATGAAGTAGGCTCACCTCTTCGGCCTTCTGAACGTTTGTTGTTCACGGTGGTCCATGTCTTCGGCACGAACAATGAAGTCGCATTGGGAGGTATGCTGCTTGACTACATCTCACGCAACTACAATCTGGAAATCCCGGAATACATCTGGACGCATCTGCTGGAGTGGACCTTTGTGCTTTCAATCCAACACAGCAAGGCGAGGATCGAGCGAGGACACGGTGAAGGCCGCATAGCACGAAGGGCGGTCGAATCAGTTTATCATGTCTTTCACAATGAACCGTACAATGTCCGACCGAAAATTGAGGATTTGATATTTCGAGTCAAAGCCAGGTCCGAGGCTAGAAAGCTCTACAAGGCTGTCGAAGACCTCCGCGAATGCATGGTCCTGCTCGAGGAAGAACGCACCCGCCTCTCCGAGATGTATGATCAAATTCGTGATCTCCTTGAAGACGCAGATTATCATTACATCTTCTACGATGGCTTGCCCTCCGCCGCGTTCCTCGAATTAAAACACAAATATGTGCTTGCTTCCCTCCAGCTGGAATGTCACATCCAACTCATCTCTATTGCTGTGCGCAACACCATCAAGCGTAAAGACTGGACGTCGCATGACGAAGGCACAGACTGGCCTTACCGAGGCATTCCCAATATCATCGCAGAGTGGACGGATTGGTTGCCCAATGTCGTCCCCTACTATACACCCACCGGTCACGTGAGTGTCTGGGGAAGGGAGTCGCGCCACGCAGCCATCCAAAGTGCGAATTCCCTCCAAACGACAAGGACGGGCACAATGCGCATGCTGCTCGACTCTTATTCGCCCACTCGTCTCCGGCACGCAGCCGGGTTCATTCATCGCGGGCCTGCGGGAAACGCTCTGGCGAAGTTCCAAGATGAAGTCCGCAGCGATTCCTCGGGACGCCTGAGTGATTGGGTACTCAGGTTTGAGACGGCCGTCCGTCGAGAGCGGTTGAATGACCGCCAGGTCGTTGGCGCGCAGGTACCAGGACCGGATCATAACAGCGAGGAGTGGAGGCCTTGGGGTGGGATTTTGGGGAAGGGGAGGTTGGGGCGTGGGCCTGGGCGGAAGGGGTCGGCGACGAGGGACGGGGATCGGGGTGAGGACGAAGAAGAAGGGGGAAAAAAAAAGCAGAAGGAGTGATGTGACGCCGGAGTTTCGGATTGGCCGGGTGTGATACAGAAAGTGTAACAGGTGTAACATCATCATGTGTGTGTACATACTCGCGAACGACTTCCTTCCTATGTAGGTAAGTACGGGCTGTAGATTCCTGTCCTCGCAAAAGAAACCAATCGCCCTGATCAGAAGTGCTCCCTCTGAAAAGATCAAACAGGAAAAATGGAGTCAAATTGGATATCATGGACAAGACAAGCAAGAACAAGAGACAATCAAAAATATCCCTCCCATTTGCGCATCGACAAACCACCCGGTGACTGGCGCGGAGCTCCTGAAAATGAATAATTTGATCCTTCCCCTTTCCTTTCCCCTCCCTTGCCTTGCAAGTGTTTCTCTTTTGAGCTCCATTTCTCTGCCTTGGGGTGAAAACAAAAGTTGGTAATGGCAATTCGTCTCCTGATTTACTGGTGTCTCTTCTGTGGATTGGAGTTTCTGTTCCCTCCCTCCAAGTTCTCAACTCGCCACGATGCGCTCCCTCCTCAAATCATTCACAACCATATACCTCCCTAACCCGATCCAGCCCCATCGAAACCAAACCATCTGAGATTTGTGTCCGCGTATCATGGCCTCGCGCGCCTTCCAATACCGAAATACGTCGTTCACAAACATCACCCTGTCTGCGGCGCTCTTGCTCCCCGTAGCGGTCTTGCCTTTCGTCGTCGTCGTTCCGAACAGATTGCCGAATATGCTCTCGTAAATGCCCATGAGGAGGGTGGGTATAGCGTCTAATACGAAGGAGTATTTTCGTACAATGTTGATTGAGGGTAGAGTGTAAAGTGTGACCGGGCAGGCGTAACCGGAGTGACCTTTCATGATTTTCTGGAGGAATGAAGAGGCACCATGGTACAACGCGATGTGATTGGGATGGCCTGAGATGCCGGCTTTGTCAAAGGTAATAAGGACGTCAATGGTTGCGCGGGGTCCATCGGCCTCCTTTGGCGCCGGAGATGGTGGGGTTGATATGGATGTTCGAGAGGAGGATTTGGTGTGTTTCGAAGGCAGTGGTTTGGATTTTCGTTTGTCTTTGTCCTTTTCCTTGTCGGATTCCGGCGTCAGTGTTGCATGGACAGCTGGAGCAGACGGAGAGTTCAGATGCGGCGCAAATGCACTGGCCAGCACCAGCGCAATCTCCTCGGGCTTCCACTCCTCCTTCATCCCGTCCTTGAACCTCTCATCGTCTAGCACAAAGACGTCCTCCTTCCGCCTCAATCCCAGTGTCATGGCCGCCTTCTCCAATTCTTGTTTCCGTGTGGCGCCCAGGCCTTCACTGTTGCCAGTGCTCATGCAGAGGATCTTCAGATGGTTTTGAAGGGAGGGGTGAGTGAGGGCTTGCAGGGCCGGCGAGAAGAACATGGATTCGTCGTCCGGGTGAGCAATGAGCAGAATGATACGCTTGTTGCGTAGAAGGGCAGGCATAGGGGGCAGCATGGTCGAGGTGAGATGCCAAAGCGCAAAGATGAGGATAGGTAGGACGGTTAACGTAACAATCGTCCCAAAGGCCATGTCGGAGAGGCTGAAGTCACGGTGAGCTGTGTTATTAGATGGCAGCAGTATGCAGTCTCGCCGCGCAACGGTACCGCAGAGTGTGAGAGAAGATTGACGCAGTCTAGAGGACGAGAGTGTTTCATCCCAACCAGTCCTATATGCGGCACAGAGTTGACGACGGCAGCGGGCGAAGTTTCATGGTGGGAAGGCTCATGTGCGTAAAATTAAATAGAAACTAGACAGCAGAGAGGCAGTGCGATCCGGGAAAAGTCGTTGCAAGCCATGCATGAACCGGTGGAGTTGCAATTGAACTCGAACACGAAAAAGCGGTAAAGGTGGCCAGATCTCAATTGACGGGATGATACATTTACGGTGCAATGGAAATGGAAATGAAGCGGCGTTGCAAGGGGTGGGTTTTGGACGGTTTCGCTTCATCCATATCACCAGAACAAGCCAGGATCACTTGGATCACCCCCACTTAGCCGCCAAATTAAATCATTAAATCACCCACAGCCATAGCCAGGAGATAGGCTGCGGTCACGTGAGGGGGTCTTTGCGAAGGAGGACGGAATACGAGGAGGAACCGTGGGAGATATATCCTCTTTTCTTTTCTGCTCGGGTTATAGTTGTGACATTTTGGATCAAATCATATCTGGACCACGACCATATCACAGCAGACTCGTGCGAGATATTCCCGCCCGCTCAGCATCAAGTCTCAGTGGCCTCAGACGATATTCAGTCACGCGGACGGTTTGCTAGCGGGGGTACAACCACTTCGGTATACCAGAGGGCGGCGAAGGGCGCGAACATTGCAAGAGGTGAACTCGGACGTCCTGGGCAATAAGCTGCGAGTGAGATTTTCAGGGGGCGCTGCTACCTGTGTGGCAGAGATAACGACCCTCTTGAATCGGGAAGAAGCAACTGAGGCAATATACCTGGAGACGAGAACTTTGACAATTCGCTGACTCCCGGAGGCATGTGCATGGTAGACTTTTGGTGCAAAGTCGTGTCAGCAAAAATTTCATTAGAATGTCTGAATGTCAAGTGAGACAAACCAAGGCTGCTCCAAACTCCACGTTTCCACTTTCAAGAATTATTTCCTCGGTGCAACTTGTGGCCGGTGTGGCAGTGCCATCTGAAGAGAATACCCATACGAAGTCCTAACAGTTGAATCTTTTGTTGATTCTCCGTGTCAGCAGAAGGATGCCTACCACAATCGGAGGCTGAGTTAATCTCGCAAGACCGAGCTCGTAGGTCCGTCATCGACCCAGCATCGGGAAATGATGCACAGGTTGTTTGTCTCGCAGGAGAATCCATCCCTGTGGCCACGGTCTAGTATCGGTATCTTGTCGAGTAGTCTTTGGGCGAAACCACCAAACCCCGACCCTTTTTTGCGCCCTTGTAGATTGTTTCGATAATGTCGATGAGCTCTTGCTTGTCTTCGAGGACCCAGTTCAGCTTGTTGTTGTTGCCGGTGCCAAAATCACACATCATATGTTTGTTGCGGAAGAAGAACATGAGAGTCACCGGGTCGTAGAGCTCGTACATTTGTTTGAAGTCGGGGACTTGGTCGAGGTCGCAGACGTAGATGACAGCAAAGTTCTTGACCTTGTCCGCAATCTTGTAGAGGACTTCGTCCTGACGCATGCAGTCGGGATCCCAGTCGCGGCCAAAGCGGATGACCACAAGGCGCTCGTCTTCGGAGAGAATGGCCTGATCAACGTGCCAGCCGGTGACTAGGTGAGGAATGACGACGGAACCCATGGTTGCGCCCAAAAAGATGTCCGTAGAGAGGTTTGGCCGTCCCCGCTGTTGGGTTGCAATGTTTCTGCGGTAGAATAGGAGGTTGGAGGTGGATGAGAGACTGTTGAAGAAGCACGCAACGACAAATATGTACGAGTACAAGTACAAGTACTCGGCGGCAGCGAGGAGGCTTGGAAGATTCAAGAACGAGTCCCGAACGTCCACGTGACGACGGGGTGATGGAGGCAGCCGCTGGCTTGGCAGTGGTTGGCGTTATCGATAACGATTTCCCCCGCGAAAATTTTGGGTGAGCCAAGTGAGCCATGGGAATGCATACCGCATCTCCTCCGCAGCCCATCTCACTATCTTCTTGTGCTGTTCATTGGAGTCGCAGTGTTTGCCAGAAGGCCCAAAGTTCGATAATGGCAGCAGTTGGAGAACCTAGTTCGGAGATAGACACGCCCGTTTCAGTCCTGCGGCGGGATTTGACCTCAGAGAACGTCCCACTTGCCCGACGGTTTCGCGCATTATTCTCTCTCAAACACGTTGCTTCGCAGGCTCCTGGGCCACAAGCAACAGCCGCAATAGAAGCAATCGCTGCCGCCTTTGCTTCTCCTTCTGCGCTCCTGAAACATGAGTTGGCATATTGTTTGGGACAGACTAGGAACCTAGAAGCGGTACCGTTCCTTCGAGCGGTCCTCGAAAATAGGTCAGAAGATGCAATGTGTAGGCATGAGGCTGCGGAGGCGCTGGGGGCGCTGGGAGACCTGTCTAGTCTACAAATCATGCAAAAGATGAAAAACGACGATCGCGAGCCCGTGGTGGTTAGGGAGACTTGTGACATTGCCGTCGACCGCATTAATTGGGCACATTCTCAAAGCCGGCAAACCGAAAGATTGAAGTCCAGCGACTTTGCCTCCATCGACCCTGCGCCTCCTCTCCCTTTATCCTCAGAAACGCCATCAATCCCGACTCTACAGACGACCCTCCTCGACACTTCATTACCACTTTTCCAGCGATATCGTGCCATGTTCGCGCTTCGAGATCTCGCCTCTCCACCAGACCTTCCCACAGCAGAACCGGCCGTCCACGCGCTTGCCTCCGGGTTCAGAGATCCATCAGCCCTGTTCCGACACGAGGTGGCATTCGTGTTCGGGCAACTATCTCACCCAGCGTCAATACCCGCTTTGCTGGCCGTGCTGGAGAATACCAAGGAAGAAAGTATGGTGCGCCATGAGGCTGCAGAGGCGCTTGGTAGTTTGGGAGAAGAGCCAGGTGTGGAGGATATGCTGAGGCAATTCCTGGATGACCCCGAGCAGGTCGTTCGTGAGAGCGTCATTGTTGCTCTTGATATGGCCGCATATGAGAAAACCGGGGAAATGGAGTACGCCACTATTCCAACAGGGGTTGCTGCATAATTGGGTAATGCCTTAGACAGCGCGCGTGTCAGACAGAGACTGGCGTCAACTCAGTTATTTTGAACATCCTTGAAACCGCATTCGCATCTGTAAAACACGGTCGTGCCTTCGTCTGCGCTTCGTAGTTGCTTGGTATGATAGAACATTTCTGGTCGATGGCACTCCGGGCACTCCCTGGAGATGACAGCTTCGACCTGGAGATCCTCGGCATTGATAGCTTGCACTTCGGAGTGTTTTGCCCGCAGAGGAGATGGGAAAGCACTGGGCTTTGACTTTGAGGTTATGACTTTGGATGAAGTGTCCTTGGTGTATTGGAAACAATCGTCGCACTTGACCATGTCGTCTTTGTTTTCGCCCGGGACGATCCGCGGAAGGAGCGAACCACAGGCGTCGCAGAATAGGAGGCTGCCTATTGCAACCATTGTGATCTCAAAAGTGTGTGGAAAGAGGGTGGCTGATTCTTTATAGTAGACAAGTAAAATTTTAATGCTTGCTGACAGGCAAGTCTGTGAAGGCCGCGAGGCGGCTTGGATTTCCGAAGCGGGTTGCCCAAAAGGCTGTTCCTGCAGCAGCCGCTCGGCTGGTCCTAGCACGGTAAGGCTCACCGCAGTTTAACCGAGCAGATCACCGCTATCTGGAGATCCTTGACGCTTTCCCCAGTCCTTGCCCAGTCCTAACTTGTAACTAGGCCTCTCTTTCACCTCCGCATCGTGGTGCGGCAGGCTGGTGAGGTTTGTGTCAAGACAATCCGCCCGGCAATCCACAGCCCGATGCCCACTGTTTGTTGGATCTGCGCTTGATGGCGTCTTTCCTGATACCAATCTTCCCCGGTTCGACCCCTCTCACATCACTAGCGAGGCGGTCGAGATAGCCGCATCGGCAGATCGGCGCAAGATCTATCGTTCAGAAGTTGCCCTAAGCCCATGGATCTCACAGGAGATACCATCGAGGTCGTCGTCTCGCGACGGCCGCAACGTGATCCCAATGCGAGGCAACTCTCGGTGGATCAGGCTTTGCAATACACTCCTATGACAACGTCGATTCTCCCCGCTTACAGTATGCCCCCTTCACCTCGAGTGTTGGTCCCGCGCTGATTCACTTTACAGATCGCATCCCTATCCCACAGGTCGGTCGCCTCAATGACTTGCGCCTCACTTCTTCCTCCGAACGTCAGGCAGTATATCGAAGCGAACTGTACTCCTCGAGGGCCAAAGAACGTCTTTCCGTCCTGCTCGACCCCAGCCGCCTGTCTAAGATCAAATTCCCTCGTCCGCCGATTCAAAATGAAAAATCGGTCGAGACAGACCTGAACCCCATACAGAACATGGTCCTCAAGATGTCAAAAGTCGAGTATGCATTACCCTCGACAACTGCTCCTCAGCCTACAGTCAAGAAGAAAACTCTCCAAATGCCCATAACTAAACCGGCCTTTGTCGTTGAAGTACCTAAGCCACCTCCGTCTTTAACCAGAGATGACCATGTCGCTTGGCAACAAGGACGGAAAGTGAGCGATCCTTCACTAAACACCAAGCGCGTGTTGGCGACCAGCTCCAAGAAACAGAAGGATGACCAGCTGTTAGCGAGCTTTGAGAGCCACCTGGTCGACATTTTCGAAGCTCAAGATCAAATTGCCCCCCACACATCGACAGAGCGAGTCAAAATCAACAATGCTATGTTCGATGTACCAGGTGGTGAAGACGACACTGAGCCGCGTCTTGCGATCCGTGTACATGAGCAACTTCAATCGGTCATGAGCCAACTTTTGTCCTCTGGTCGCTTAGGTGATGCTTCTGTGGAGTATCTTCGACGACTCCAACGTATATGTGAGCCAGCGATAGAAGCTGCGCAGACAGTCAACTTGCAGCTCCCGTCGGATCCAACGGATGAGAACATTTCCGCTTGGTTGTCGAAACTTCACAAAGCAGAAAATGGTGCTGCATCAGCCTCTACTCTAGTCTACACCGTCCTCAGCGCTCCTCACAATCAAGATCTCATCAGTTTAGAAGCACTACAATGGTTGCCTAACGTGCTCGTGAACTTGTTCGAGAACTGTTTGATCCCCACCGTCGAGGCCCGCCCAGATGGACAAAGCAGTCAAGTCTTCAGATATTCGTCTGTCTACAGTGAACCGTTGAAACGCTTGCTAGATGCCGGCCGCAAACTTCTGGGCCTTGTTGCAAGACTGTGTGTGGACATCAAGGGAGCCGGACCCGTCGTCAACTCCACCGAATTCCTGGCGGTGAAGCTTATTTTTGTTCAGAATGCCTACAACGACAAATCGTCAGCAATTGGATCCCAAGCGTACGAACGATTGAGAAAGCATGCCATGGCGGCTGTTGCCAAACTGTACGCAGCGTTCCCCGACGAGCGATCGGCGATATTGGACGAGGTCTTGACATCCCTGGACAAGTTGCCTTCTAATAGCCGGAGCGCAAGACAATATAAACTTGGAGGTGGCAGAAATATCCAACTGGTGTCTGCTTTGTTCATGCAGCTGGTTCAGACTTCGGCCATGCAATCAGGCGTGAAGAAGCGCAAGTTGCGGCGCCCACCACGGACAGGATCTTCGAATCCTGACAGCTCAGAAGAAAGCGAGGAGTCGGCCAGCGACATGGAGGTTGATTCTGCCCCTGGGGCGGATGAAGATAAAAGGAATCCACTATCAAAGCTGGGTCAAATGGCGCAGAATCTTCTGCATGACGCGCTCAACAGTGCCCAACATATTGTGATGTGGATGGTTGACAAAGCCTCCAAGGTCACGAAGTCTGGAGATTCGCCTTACCGCAACATTCTCGATCTGTTCGTCGAAGACCTCACCCTGGTGTTCCCATCACCAGACTGGCCAGCATCTGAATTGCTTCTTTCCGTGTTGGCTCACCGGATGAAAACACTTGCCGAGACAGACAAGGCGGCTTCCACCAAGAATATGGCTCTCGAATCATTGGGGGTCATGGGGGCTGCTATTTCTCAGACTCGTGCGTCTGTTCGAAGCCTGCTTTCATCAATCACCAGAGACGGAGAACCACGCTCCACTACCATCGCCCAAGATCTGTCAGATTCAGTCAGAGATCGGCCTCATTTCTCGCTTGAAATTCAGGAGCTTGTGTCTGCCCGCGGGCCATTTTCTATCGTCAACTCCTATTTGAGCCAAAAAGGAGGGGAGAGCTTGGGAACAAAGTCTGCGAGGGCATATCTCCTTGCGAAGTACGCCACGTTGCTGAACCAAATTTCCAAACACCCACGAGATGGAGAGCGGGAGTTCAAAATCGACGCGAGGCTTACGGACACCCTCTTGGCAACACTTCAACAGCTGTCCGGATCAATTGAATATAACGAAGTCGTGGATGATTACGCTGAAGTCACCGATCGAGAGGCTACACTGGCCTACATGCTCAGTATTCTAAACGGGCAATTCTGTTGCTTGTTTCCACACATTGCCAAAACGCTCAGTTCGTCTCTTGAAAGTGATCAGGCTCAAGTTCGCAGCCGCAGCTTGAAGAGCATTGCCGCGATGTTAGAGATTGACTCAAGTCTTCTCGACTGGGAACAATCGCTAGCGGACGCTGTTCTCAAGTGTGCTTCTGACGACTCCTCCTTGGTGAGGGACTCTGCCTTGTCTCTCATTGCCAAATTCATCATGCCAAGGCCCGCACTTCAAGCGAAAGCGTTTGGGATGCTTCGCAAATGCACTGCTGATCCCAATGTCGGAGTTCAGAAAAGAGCCATGGGGCATTTGAAAGACGTCTACCTGAAAGAAGAGAGACCGAAGTTGAAAGTAGCCATTGCGGTCGAGTTCCTGCGCCGAACTGCCGATCAAGAAAGTTCCGTGGCTGAGCTTGCTAAGAAGAATCTGGCAGAGGTTTGGTTTGATTCCCACCTGACAATGGTGGACTCCGCAGCTGAGTCTGCACGTCTGGACGTCGCGATCGGGGATCTCAAATCGCACATTGTTGCATGCGTTGACACAGACGTCGCCCGTCTAGCCCCGCTCTTGAAAGAGTTCTTGATTTGGAAGTTGAAGGATTCCAAGAACACCGATCAAGTCCGAGACCTATGTGCCCGTGTTGTCAAGAAACTGCTAGACGCAGCCAATAGCTCAGAGGTGGGACCGGCAGAATTGACGACACTTGTTGCATTTGTGGAGGCTCGACCGGAAACGGTGGTGCCTGCAGACCTAACCAGTTTGAAGAGCTATCTGAAAGACTTGTCCAGGCAGGATAACATGCCGAAGTTCATTTCAGTGGTGGCTATATTTCGTTCAGTTCTACCACATCTGTCCAGCACCCAAGCTCCGCTGCTGCAAGAGGTTCAGATGGATCTTCTAAAAGCTAGTGGCAAGCTTACACAACGCGAAGTTATCGAGGAGGTCATGTCTTGTCTAAGAAGCATCGGTGGTGTTCTGCAAGATGCCACCAAGATGGTTAGGTTCACGACATCGCTAGTAAGGAATTTGCAGCGGCCGGGGATGGTCCAAGAGACCGCAGAGGCTCGTGAGAAGGAAAGTCAATCAAGGGAACTCAGAGCAAAAGAGGATAAAATGAGAGAGCAATCCCTGCGTCTGCTTGGCGCTGTGGGGAAGCATCTTGATCTGGAACGTTCTTCCAAAGAATTTCAAACCTACTGTCCTACATACAAAACGGGGTCGGTTGCAGGGTTCATTGCGGACTGCATTATGGAACACACCCTCAAAGGTCGTCCTATTGAGACCCGAGTGAGGGCTTTGGAGAGTCTTGGCCTCGTCTGTCAAGCATGGCCGGGCCAGTTCAACAAACGACATATTCGCGAAACCTTCTTCCAAGTCCTGGAGGGATCGTCATTTGGCGGTTTGGACGAAAAAGACATTGGGAGGATGCAGGTCACAGTGCTTGAGTCACTCCAAGAACTGTACCGGAAGCGTGCCACCGTCAAAGAGGACGCCAAGAAAGTCGAAGTCCAGGCGTTGAAAAACATTGGCGGGGACAGCAAGACGCGCGAGGATGAGAGTGCGCTCTCGATCATCACCAATACTCTGGTCGACCTCCTCCTCCGAATTGTCATGTCCGAGACCGGTGTAACAGCGCTGCTCGCTGCTCGAACACTGGCCAGCATCGACCATCAGGGCATGATACATCCGAAACAAAGCACATCGGCGTTTGTGGCACTGGAGACCAGCACAGATCCCCAGGTTGCCAGTGTTTCCCGGCTTGCCCACGAGCACCTGCATCAACAGCACGAGTCCGTCTGTGAAAGGGAGTATATCAATGCCGTACATGCCGCATTTCGGTATCAGAATGAGGTGTTCAAGGCTCCACAAGGAGGCATTGTTCCAGGACACCAAGCTAAACTTGCAGCAGCCTTTGCAATAATCAGCACCAGTGGTTCGAAGTACGTGAAGAAGTTCCTCAGCAACCTGATTTCGAAACTCAACACCGACTACTCCAAGTTGGATGTGGCTGGGAACGAAATTCCTGAACATCTGTTGTTTGTGCTGTTTGTGACGCAGAACCTGGCATTCTTTGAGTATAAGAAGATGGATGAGCTACTGCACGCCGTGCTACAACTCGAGCTGGCGTTTGGCAGAAACGGTGGCGAGACCGCACAGGCGATTGAGACGGATCTCCGCTTGGCCTCTGTCAGCCATATCGACAATGACGCGGCAGATTTGGTCGGGATGGAGCCAGCCCCCCCGGACGTGGTCGTGGACCCTGTCATGTTGAAGAGACTGGCGACGGCCGCTTGTGCGATCACATTGATCTCCGAGGCGAGAAACTATTTGAAGCGACAGTATGGGGTATCGCGAGATGTTACAACGGCGATGCAACAGAACAAGCAAACCAAGGAGGCGGCAAAGGAACCGGTCAAGGTGCACGGAATCAGTGGGGACAAGTTCTGGCACAACTCCAACGCGGTTCTGGAATCACTCGGCAGTACGGGCGCCATGATTGCAAGATGCCGAGAGTTTGTTGATCTTGTGGCCGTGGATGATGAGGTGAAGATTGCCGAGGAGGAAGCGGCAATCAACGCCATGCTGGACGTTGCCCCGGAGCAAGCCATGAGTGCGCAACGCGGTCGAAAGCGCAAGAGTGGACCTGGGTCAGCTGGAGGGACCCCGAAAAGAGCTCGAGGTCGGCCTCAGAAGAATGGACACGCGAGACGTTCGTCGAGCGTGGCCTCATCCGTGGGCCACGATCTTGACACAGATGTTAATGGCTGAAGCAGTATTATGAATGATGACCGTTGAACGGAATTTCTCTGGACAGTGAAAAAGGAGCAAAGCCTTGCGGTACATGGAAGGGAGGAGTTTGGCGGACATGCTGGAAGGACAGCGGCTGGGACACGGGACGAGGTGTTTTGCCGCCTGGGACTGGGCTTGCATTCTTCTCATATATGATACCCCCACAGAGCTTTCTTTTGAGGACCGACTGGTGCCGGGGTGGTTGCTAGATGCCAGAGGGTGAGAGGAGTGCAGATACAGAGGGCCGGAAGAGAGGGGAGAGAGTAGAACGAGACCTGGGAAGCGATTGGACCGCATCGAGGAAAAAGAGCTGAAAGAGCTGAGGGATTTGATAAGCGATGAGAAAGTTGTATTTCCCGGAGGAATAATATCTTGATGGTCCCCTGAAAGCAGCCATTGGAGCCACTGCAAGCCCAAGCTTGTTCCTGCTGCCGCTCTTCCGATCGCGCCCAAGCGGGTTGTTGATCTGTGTTGCGGCTTGTTTGTTCTAATACCTACGTAACAGGTTGATTCGGTTTCCCACTTGCCCTCTCTCTGTGCCCTCTGCTCTCCCCTCCCAGGCCCCTATAAGCCCAAACAGCACCAGGTACATAAGCTCGCCGTCATTCGGTCATATGTCTCGTCATATCCACGTATAGCATCATTTCTATCGTCCGCCCGTTTCTTTTTTTCCTTTGGGCTTCTTGAATTTTGGTCAATCTTCCTACAGCATTGCTAGCTCGTCTTCTTCTTCTCCTTCTTCTTCTTCTTCTTCTCTTCTCTCCTTTCTGGATATCTACCACAGTTTTCAACATGAAGTAGACCTCGCTCGCCCTCCCTTCCCTCGACAATGGAGGTCCTTCCTCGATTAGCCCGTCGCGGCCGGCAACATCTACAGCTCCGCCTGCGCCCTGTTCGCACCCTCCATATCTCTCCTCGACTGGCGCCTCCCCAACCGCTGAGACCATGCCTGCAATCCTCGAGGCCCCTGTCGACCCTGCGGATATCTCAATTGTCCTCTAGAAGCCCGCGCATGGGGACTTCCAAGCCCCCGTCGCAGCTCATCTACCGTTCCCCTGTCGGGAGGGTTCGATTCATCTCTACCAAGGAGCTCCCCAATAACAAGGGGCCATTTGTTCGCTTTTGCTACCGCGTTTTCGCATGGACGGGCATCTTCATCGTCTTCTCCGGCACCTTGGTCCTCGCTTTCTTTCTCTACGATGCCTCCACATACCGCGAAGAACCAGAGCCGACGGGCGACATCGCCGTGTCGGAAGCCGCTCTATCGCCCAGAAGAGGGGGACCAAAGAACCTACCCATCGCCGAGGTGCTAGTTGATGACGAGGATTGTGACCACATGCGAGAGCAAAAGGACAAGCCTAAATTGGTCGTTCTCGGCACCGGCTGGGGAAGCGTCGCCATGTTGAAAGAACTTCACCCGGGCGATTACCATGTTACCGTCGTCTCCCCAGACAACTATTTCCTGTTCACCCCCATGTTGCCGTCTGCCACAGTGGGAACCCTGGAACTGCGATCACTTGTCGAGCCGGTCCGCAGGATTGTCAACCGACTGAGGGGTCATTTCTTGAAGGCTGAGGCCGTCGACATCGACTTCACAGAAAGGCTGGTCGAGGTAGCTCAGGTGGACGCGGACGGCAACCGGCAACATTTCTACCTTCCCTACGACAAGTTGGTCATTGGAGTCGGCTCCACGACAAATCCCCATGGTGTCAAAGGCCTGGAACACTGTAACTTCCTCAAGACCATAGAAGATGCGCGCCTCATCAAGAATAAAGTCCTGCGGAATCTCGAACTGGCCTGTCTGCCTACCACCTCTGATCAGGAAAGACGAAGACTGCTTTCGTTTGTTATCAGCGGCGGGGGCCCTACAGGGGTTGAGTTTGCCGCAGAATTGTACGACATGCTGAACGAAGACCTCTTGAAATCATTTCCCCGGATCTTACGGAACGAAGTGTCGGTGCATGTCATCCAGTCACGAGGGCACATCCTCAACACTTATGACGAAGCCTTGTCAATCTACGCCGAGAAGAGATTCGAACATGATCACGTCGAAGTCCTCACAAATGCGCGAGTCAAGGAGGTCACCTCTGACCGAATCATCTTCTCACAGATGGAGGACGGGAAACCGGTGACAAAGGAACTGCCCATGGGATTTTGTTTATGGTCGACTGGTGTCGCGCAGACTGAACTCAGCCGCAAGGTCGCCGAAAAGTTGGGCGACTTCCAGAACAACCGACACGCTCTCGAGACCGATTCGCATCTGCGCCTCCTAGGAGCACCGCTGGGAGAGGTCTACGCTATTGGGGACTGCGCCACGGTCCAGAACAACATCGCGGACCACCTCACCACATTCCTGCGTGGGATGGCATGGGAACAGGGTAAAGACCCAGAGAAAATGCACATCACCTTTCAAGATTGGCGCAGTGTAGCGCAAAAAGTGCGCAAGAGGTTTCCCCAAGCGACGGGCCATCTCAAACGCCTCGACAAGCTTTTCCAAGAATATGACAAGGATAAATCGGGCACGTTGGATTTCGGCGAATTGCACGAATTGCTCGTCCAAATCGATTCCAAATTGACTTCTCTTCCCGCCACCGCCCAACGTGCAAATCAACAGGGCCAGTACCTCGGTCGGAAACTCAACAAGATTGCGGCCGCCATCCCAGGGTTCAAAGCCAACGAGGTCGACTTTGGCGACCTAGACGAAGCCGTCTACAAGGCTTTCGAGTACCACCACATGGGTTCCCTGGCCTATATTGGAAACGCGGCCATTTTCGATTTCGGCGGCTTGAATTTCAGCGGTGGGTTGATGGCCGTCTACTTGTGGAGAAGTATTTATTTTGCGCAAAGTGTGAGTTTTCGGACGAGGATGTTGTTGGCGATGGATTGGAGTAAGAGGGCACTTTTTGGAAGAGGTGAGTCTACCCGTTTCCCCTTTGTGGCTTCGAGCGCGGGTCAGGACTGACGGATTGAACAGATTTGATGAGCTTCTGAAGACTTCTATTATCTACGGCCTCTTGGCGATGCAAGGGAAAAGCCGACGCCGGCAATCCTTGTGGCCAGTTGTTTTCCCTGCTTTCAGAGCGGCACCAATCATAATCTTTCGCGTCGAAGAAAAAGAAGCATTCGGATAGACCGATGATTTCGATCAGTGTAGGGTCTCCGACGGTGTTGGCCGGGGGAGATTACTTACGACGCCCTCTTGGGTCAGTGAAGGGAAGATATGGGCGGAGAGATGAGACGAGAGCCCAGGTCCCGTATAGAAGAGGGACCATAGACTAGAGATGTTGGTTCTAGAAGAAAGAGCAAGACGGCGAAGCAAATGATGATGTACTCATGAAAGACCCCGCGAAGACGGCAACAGTTGAAAGAGCCGCGAGGGGACAAGGGAAGAAGAGAAAGACGACGAGTCGAATGGCACATTTTCATTCTCTCTCAGTCTTGTGGCCTTTTTGTTTCCTTTTTGCCTCTCTCCACTCTGCCCTTGTTTTCCTGCTAGCCAGTCCAGTCATCATCTATACTAATCTAGCATGAGGTTGGCGGATAATTCACTTCTCACTGCGTATTGATATAGCAACCCACTTATCCTGCTCGAGCTGCTCGATTTCTGTCTCGTTGGCAATGCTATTTGTTCATTCTTCTGCTCTGTCAATCCTCTCGGGTCTTTATCGTCCATCTTCATCCTCGGTCGCCTTCTCACTCTCACTCTCACTCTCACTCTCACTCTCACTCTCACTCTCACTCTCACCCTGCGCACCATCCGCTCGGATTTTGCTCGCAAGGCCCTGCTTCTCCACGTCTCCTGCGCCGTCCGCCTCTCTATTGTCCTTCGCAGCGTGCTCGACCTCCCTAAACACCCTCCTCTCAGCCTCCCACCGCGCGATCGCCTCAGCATCACAAGTGTCCACCACCTGCGTCTCGACCGCCTGCACCAACCCGACCAGCTCGTCGTCCATCTTCCCAAACCCCACGATCCCATGGCCGCTGTGTCCCCTGAGCGTCTTCACGACCGACAACCACTCCCTGACCCCCGTGCGCGTAATGAGCGTCTCGCTCCCGCCTTTTATCCGCGTGGCCAAGTGGACGACCCTCAGGATCTTCGTCCGGATGGCTTTGGTGCAGACGGGCGCGAGGTAGTGCGAAAATAATCTCGTAAATACCTGTGCGCGACGGAATAGGTCCATGTCCGCCTCTGTCCGCAGGGATTTGAGGAGGAGGTCGAGGAAATGCTCGATTTCCAGCGCTTGAGCGTTGATGTTTCCGCCGCTACCACCACCACTGCCTGGCTGAAACATTGCGGGGATGTCTGGATCATCAATCTCGGGCTCGGTGAGGAATGTCTCCTTGAGCCAGTAAGGAAGAATGTGTGGCACGGACCATTGGGGCGCGCGGAGGAGGAAGGTGTTGGTTTTGCGGTAGAATGGGGATGAAGGGTCAGAGATGGTTGGGAGGATGTGGATCGCTAATTCCGCCACTATGGAGGGCGGTGGTGGAGCTGTTGCCGTGGGTTGTGAGTTCGAGAGGACATTGCTTTTGATAGTCTCGTACAGTTCGCCTAGAAGAAGGTAGAGTTGGGTCTTCTCGTCGTAGCTGGACTGTTGGACGGCGTGCATGATGTGTTGGAGGATATGGAACGCTTGAAGTCGGACTTCGGGCTCAGGAGAGATGAGAGAGCGGATCAGACTGGCGAGGCGGCCAGTTTGAATCTCAGATTCGAAATCCGGGTTTGTCCAGCGGTCGAGGCCGGCAAGAGATGTCGGAATGGCGGACGGTGGAGGGAAGTTCTCATCGAGATCCAGGTCACCAGCATACTGTCGTTGTGCTGGGCCATCTGCACCGTCTTCAGTGACCTCGCGCACTTTGATACCTGCTTCGTCAAGATGTTCATCTGGTAAAACAACATGTCTCTTGCGCTGCTTCTCAAACGCCTTTTCCAATGTCTCTTTCGCCTTCTCATTCCCATCACATTGCTTCAGCATTTCCTCCTTCAAGTGCATCATGACGCGATAATTCTCGCCTGCAGAATCAAGGGCAGAGAAAAACCTGGCGACCCACTCCGCAACATTCTTGATGCCATGCTTCTTTTCTTTCTTCAACAAATGTATCCACTGCTCCGCCACGCAGCACGCAAGCAGACTCAGAGGTGTCGAGTCGGACAAAAACTGCTGGGCTTGTTCAAGCTGATCCAGATACTTGACCGGTCTCTGCACCGTGCGTGACATGCAGTTGTCCAGGAACTGATAAGTGACTAGCTCTGGCAGCCATTTCTTTGTGGCACTAAGGCTCAATATCAGCGCATCGGTAGATCGGACATTGGTGTTCAATATTCCCTTGTTGGCCAACACCCCTTTGAGAATAGGGAGGGATTCTTTTGTGACAAGCTTGTCGGGGTCCTGGACACCACGCCTGAGTAGCTGCACAATGAGTGACACATCTTCTGATGCGGCTTTGTGAAACCACTTCGTCGCAGGTGATATGTACGCAATTTGCATTATATGCACTATTTGGCCCAGTACGATGTCCTTTGTTGCGGTATCCAGCGCGTCAGATTCTAAAGATTGGAGCCCTTTGCTCAAAGGTACACCGAAATCGAATTTTGAACCCGCGGTTATAGGGGGTAGGATGGTGTGATATGCGGCTATACATTCAAGTACTACCGTGCGTGTTGGCTCATTTTCCTTTTCCAACTTTTGAAGAGCGGTAATGACGTCTTGAAGGGGTGGGATACGCTCGACAAAAAGACTGATCAGTTTGCCGGACGCTTGTTTCCATAAATGGGACTCTGGTGGTGCCTTTTCGAAGACCTTTAGAACCGAGTCGAGCTTTTCGAAAGCCTTGGTCAATAATCGGGTTGCAGAAATGGTCATGATCTCGTCATTCATCCGGAGGCACTTTCCGATCGTAGCTCGATCCAGCGGTCGTGGGAGGATACTCTCAATGACAACCGACAATGGAGGAGGGTTCAAAGGCAGCTTTTCATCCCAGCCACAGTTCTGTGGCACAGGTAGTTGAACCACGGAGAACAGGAAAGCGAACTGCCCGCGCCATTTTGGATCGTCTCCTGGAGGGACAACGAATTTTGGCCTTTTGGTGAAGTAGTCGGCCACAAGTTCAGGGGCGGCTTTGAATAATGCCACGATAAGGTCAGCTTGCTGGACGTCGCTTTCAGGTCTCAGAGTTTGCATAAAAGCAGACAGTGCCCCATTTTTGACTGGTACCTTTTCAGCGTAGTCATCAAAATAGAATGGAGAGTCCAGGCCCAGATCAATCATATTCTCGTCTTGCCCCGGAATTTCGGGGTTTGTCCCGGTAGGATACCAACCTGATTGAGCAAGTAAGACTCCCTTTGGGGTTGCGCAAACCTGCAACAGCAGCTGCTGAAGAGCATTCCGTACTTCTACCGCAGGACCACCATTTCCCTGGGTCTTGTAACCGTACAGCTTAGCGAGCGCCGATAAGACCCCAGAGTTGAAGCACCGAATCTTCATTTGCTTGCTGAGATTCCCGTCGCCGATAATCGACCTCTCCAAGCCCTTCAAGGTATTGACGACAATATCTACCGGCAAGTTTGGCAAATTCCGGACTGCCAAGAAGATCGTTTTGCCATGCGTAATGAGCTCGGACTTGGAGGTGGAGTCAAGGTACCTAAGATTTGCCAGAATGAACTCCAAAGACACCTGCTGTGCAGTTACCGAGGATCGCTCGGTCAAAGTTGCCGGCGTCTGGCTCAGGATTGCCTCGAGCCTCCGATAGAGGAAATCGCGTCGACTGAAGACATTGATTGCGAGGGCGCCACCGTCAAAACTGATTATTTCTGTCAAGAGTTGCAGGCACGGCGTGATGAGATGTTCCTTGGATCTTGGAGACGATAAGCTTCGATCAATGGTTCGCAGCTGGTCTCGTTTCAGCAGGCTGTGGCACAAGGAGATCCCGAATTCCCGGAACTCGACATGGCTCGAGATCGTCTCGAAGAACTGTGTAAGACAACGAGGAATGGCGGCGAGCACGGCTTCTGCGTTGGACTGACTGGCATTGGACCATGCAGACAAAAGATTGGCGAAGTCGAGTTGATCGTGTGAAGCTGCGGATTGCTCGTCACAGTACTTCTTCAACACCTTCAGCTGGCGAGTCCCTTCTGGCGAATCTTCGTTTGCGAAATTGGAGAGAAATTCTGTAAATCGACTGACCGCTGTACCTGTGAGCAGCCGGGACTTTCTATACACGTAGCACCCAACACACCTGATTTAATGTCCTCTGGAGACGTCCAAGGCGAAAACTGGAGAAGTTGGTGGAGTTGATCTGAACTGCTGATGGAAGTGGAATTCAAAGGAGCAGCGGCTTCCACCTTTCTCCGTTTCCGCGATCTTTCTCCATTGGCTACAGACATGATAATATCATGTTGCGCCACAAACTCTGGCATGGAAGTGAAAAGATTTGGACCCAGGAGGTCAATGTTAACCAGTGGAAGGAGGAAGGTGTACGAAGGTTAATTTGATGCTTGAGATTTAGGAATTTTCACCAAGGCTGAAGGGTCTGTTGTGTGATTGGAGGATCGGCTCTCCTTGCGCCGCAGCCCGTTTCATTCCGCACCAGATCTCCAAATTGACACACAGACTGCACAAAAAATCTCATCAATCTCTTCTTTTTGCTTTGTCAAGAACTGATTAAAAAAAGGGAGGGAAACAACTAAGTCCACTCTGGTAAAGAGCCCGAAAAAAAAGTTCAAACGTCTAAAAACAATTGAGGTCGAACCTGGATTCGAACCAGGGTTAGCGGAATGCTCTAAATATCAGAATCCGCTGTGCTAACCGCTACACTATACGACCAGGATGGTGGCCAGTTGTGTGGCTGAAATCTACAAAATTTCGCGGTACTTTAAATTATAAACTTAATTTCCAGCCCCCCGATGGGGGCATTTGGTCAACTGTGATAGGTCTACAGGGCTCCCTTAGGGTACAGGGCTAAATCACAGTCTAACACAAAATGCACGCCGTGTTTAATGGAGCCAAAAAACGTTCAACCACGACCAGACGGCTGTGGATGTCAGTACAGTTAACCGCATAGACAAAGAAGAGAGCACCGCTATTTTCTCCGCTTTACTTTGTTACCAAGACTGCCTCGTCTGACCGTGCTATTTTTCTAGTATTACTCAACTTTCGATTCAATCCATACATTGTTGGATCTCTTAAGCCTCTTTGAAAACGGCCACGCCGACCACTCAACATCGGGTTTCTCGTCTGGGATACGGAGAAAGGCCTGCCAAATTCTTGGTGGTAGCCAGTTTTCAGCCGTGAGAGAGTCTGATTGATTCCTTATCATGGGCATAGGAGACGACTCCTCTGAATCTCCATCAAAAAGCCCCATCAAACTTTATATGTCTCCGCCCCAGCCAGTCAAATCTCGAAGACAGCGAGGATTTTCGTCTAGCCCCAACGCTCTCACCGATCGCCATTAGAGACATCGTCCGTCTAGGCGAAACGGAACCTCGACGGGAGTAAGGATCAGCTTGGTCTGGATTGACAAGGCTTTTGCAGCTGGGCTCTCGGTTGAAGAGCATCGGGCGTTGTGGAACTCCTCAATGGGATCCCGCATATCCCGTGAACTTGACCCCAAATTTTCGGTCTTACATCATGACGACTGCGCCGGATTGTCTGTGCGGCACTCAACTGGCAAGTTTGTCCGATATATGTGGCGTCTGATCATGTCCTCTCGCCATCAAAGCTAACCACGCTTCAATCAGCCCAATTTTCAAGCAGAAGATCCGAACCCCGTTAAGGTCCTTCTGGACTGACTCTAAGACGAGACCCCAGTGTTGAGGTGGGATGCCAAGAGCCATATCGGATCAAAACGCTCTGGACGCCGCAGGTTGAAGCTGGTAGCACCATCGTACGCGTCCTCGCAGCTGGCGTGCTCTCTGACCAACGCGACATCTAGGACGGGACACGCGACTATCCTCCAGCGCCATTGGGCGAGTCGTTGCAGTAGGGCCAGGGGCGGTATTGCTACAGTCTGGAAAACTGGTTCACCTTGACTGCCTCATACGGGGACGTGATGATCCCGAAGCTATCATGCTGTCCGCGAACCCGGACGGCCTTGAATGCAAACACTGCCAAGTTGATGGAAAGCCGTTTGGCGCGATGGTAAGTCTGCCGAGTTGGCCAAAGTTCCCCTAGAAAACTGCGTGCCCCTTGACGAAGTCAGGCTATGCCAAGCTATGGCGTTGAGGATCTGGTATATATGAGCTACCTCTTCGTACCTTTTGGCAGCCCCCGAGACATCAGGCTTGAGCTGGGTGAGACCGTTGTTATCTGCCCGGCCACAGGAGGGTTCGGCGCTGCGGGTGTGCAAGTCGCCATTGCCATGGGCGCCAGGGTCATTGCCATAGGTCGAAATGAACAGGAACTGGCGAGGCTGAAGACACGCATCAGCAAAGGATCGTCCACTCCCCACGTCGATACGGCCAAGATTACGGGAGACGAGGGGAAAAACGCCGCTGCCTTGCATGCGTTCGGAACAATCGATGCGGTGTTGGATCTCTCGCCGCCTTCCGCAGCCAAGTCACCGCACTTCAACAGTGCCATTCTAGCCCCTTCGTCCCAAAGGTTGCATTAGGTTAATGGGAGGAGGAAGATTCGCCGATGGCCCCATCCCCAGGTTTCAGCTCATCGCTAAAGATATCACCATCAAGGGGAAATTCCTGTACGAGAGAGAAAGACATGGGACTGTTCGTCAAGATGCTGAAACGTGGCCTGTTTCCCAGGGGAACTAATTGGGTGGATCTAAAGACTTTCCCATTAGATGATTGGAAAACGGCGCCGGACGCGGCGGCTCAAAACATGACTGTCGACGTCTCTGGATGAAGGAGGGATTGTTGGAGAACGATATCAACCCAACGTGGTAAAGAATGTCCCCGACATCTTGAACTTTTTCTCCAGTCCAAGGAGCAGCTCATTTCACAAAAGTGTAAGATCCCGTCGCTGAGCATGGTGGTATTTTCATGATTTATGTTCTGTTGAAGAATGCATTATGCACTACCTTGTAACAGGCGCAGTAAACGCGCAGAAGCGGTAACATGAGTGGCAAAACGCCCTCTTCGAAGGGCTCTCAGACCATTCTTTACAGGATATCGGGGCAGCAGCAGTAAAGGCAGCACAGAACGCCTTGGTGGCCCTTGGGGGCAACGCAGCAGCAGACACCAGCATGGCGGCAGGTTAGATTAGAGGCACAACCCCCATTCATAATATAGACTGCGCCTATTCATTGAAACAGTGCTCTAGAGTCTTTCCATCATCCATACCCGCCTCATCGATACGGCGGCCGTGTTGTCGTCATCGTAGTCGTCAAGCAACTCCTCATGGGCCGCTATCTGGCCACAAAAGGCATTATATGCGTACTCCTCAAAAAGCCAACAAGATATAGCGTAATCACATTGCAAAACCTCAATATGCGCACCAACGACGACACCATCATCGTGCGTGTCATGGACCCATCTTTCCAAAAGGCGACAAAATACCAAGTGAAACCCGCGGCCGACAAATAGCCTTCAAAAGGGTAAATAAATTGTTCAACTTTTCTTCTTCATCATCCCTCTCAGTTTCCTTGCAGCACCGACAATGGGATCGCCCGCATAGATGTCATAAGGGTCTTTCTTCTCTCGTCCCCTCTCACCCCCCCATTGGATACGCGCTTTAGGTTGAGCCGAAGATGAGGATGCTTCGTAGGTCGGCTCTGGCACGGCGGCTTCAGTTCGACGAGGCTCGTCTTCGTCACTCTCACTGCTAGAATCTTCATCTCCGCCGCCCAAACCCAATGCGGCCAGCCGACGTCTCTTTTCCGCGGCAGTTTCTCCCTCATCTTCGTTCTCTTCTTCTCCCTCCTCCTCGGACCGGATCCTCGCCAGGTGTCGTCTGCGAAAGTCTGCCGCAGTCTGACCTTTGCCGTGCTTCACTACACTCGACCTCACGTTATGAGTTGGAATTTCCCCCTCTTCCTCTTCTTCCTCGTCTTCTTCACTCCCCTCGCTCACTGTTTGACGACGGCCATGGGTGGCCAGTCGATCGGGTCTCGGACGCCGTTGAGGGCTGAAATAGTCTTCGGCTTCCTCCTCACTCGTAGGTCTTCTGCCAACGTCCGGGCGGCGAACAGCTGCGGTACCGCCGATATTCGTCTCGGTTCGGCCACGCACTGGCCTTTCATCAGGTGACGTCGGCTCGTCAAGACCTTCCCTTTCCATCTTTGCGACCCTGCGCACTTCTCGTTTGATGTCCTCCGTGGCGTCGCTCCGTTCGACTTCTCGAATCTTATTCTTGGGGTCTAGTTGTTGCATTTGCCTGATAAAGTCTTTCGTCGATAGTCGTCGGCCAGACCCTAGTGCAATAGTCCCTGGAGCATCTCGAGTCCTCTTTTGCAATCCCGTCAGGCCGTATTGCTCAGCCCTAGAGATGGTCATTCTCAAGCCATCGTCAGAGGAAGCATCGCTAATGCGCCTCCTGAAATCTCGCTTTTTCTCGGCTTCCTCTTTCGGGGAGTTGTCTCGGTTTTTCGGTGTCGCAGGAGCAGCAGCACTCGGTCCTGCAGGGCCGGCGGGTCCAGCTTGTCGACCCAACCCAACCCATGTGCTCATCCGGCGCAGCCCATCCCGCACTTGCTGCTCCCTCGTCTTGTCGCCACCTCCACTCTCGCTAGGGATATTATATGTCTTGATAACTTCGCCGTCCTCGTCTTCAACAATGACAGTGTTGCCAAACTGGTAAGCATGAGCGGGACCTCTCTTTCGTTCGGGCTGCTTGGTACCAGAAGGTCCAGCTTCTCCCTCTTTCCGTCTGCCGAAACCTTTCCACTGGTCAAATCTCTGCCGCATACTTTTTGGTATAACAGCTTGTTCAATCTCCTCCTCCAGCTCCTCACCTTCGTTTCTGGAATGTGGCTCGTGGCTGTGTTTTGTAAACTTCCCGGATTCGTCCTTGGCCAAGCGATTTCGGGCTTTCTCGATAGCCCCGGACCTTTCTTCAGGTGACATGTGCCTGGCATCGATCGTATCTATCACGTTTCCTTCCTCGTCTTCGACGATAATATTGTCACCTTCTTCATATGCTTCGACGTCTGCAGCTGCGCCTTCAGGTGGTGGAGATCGTGCACGGCGGACGGGCACCCGCTCAGCCCCAGTCTCCCGCTCAGCTTCAAGCTGACGGCGCTCTGGGGAAGAGGTCGGCGACACAGCCGCGAGGCGCTCTTGGCGACTTTGCGGCGAAGGTTCGCCGGATTTGTCAAACAACGTATCTGAACCGGACTCCTGTTGCACAAGCGCAGGCTCACTGAGTCTTGACGGAGCAATGGCACTCTGACTGACGGGACCTCCCAGTCGTTCTTCAAGATCTCTATCCCGCCTTCTCCGCCTCCGTGCTCTGCCAAGACTCGAAGACCTGGAGCCCGGCCTCTTCTCATACTCGTCTTCCCGCTGTCGCCTGAGATGGAGCTTGGGAATTCCAATTGGCGGGAGTTCTCCGGGCGGGACTTCCAGCTTCTCGTCAATGTCCAGCTCCGAGCTCTCCCTGCGCGACATGGATCTTGACTGAGACGTAATTCTAGGAAGTCTTTGCATCCATGCGGGGCCTTTCTCGTTGTCTTGAGTGTACGACAGAGTGATTGTCAGAGTGTTGATCCGCTTGCCCAAGGTAAACACAGCAATCGAGGAACCATGCACGAGGATTGATGAGATGACCAAGAACGTGACCACAGGCCATAGGAGGTAGATCAGCTGATATTCCTCGTTTGCTTCAGGAAGCTTGGCTAGCGGCGTCGTACCATCTGTTTCCAATTCTGCACGAGCCAGGATTGCCGCAAAGATGGCGCCGACGCCAATGGGTCCAAAATGACCGGCGAACAAAGCCTCCCGCCAAGTTTTGACGTCGGGAATGAGCGGTTTGAGAGCCAGCATTGCAGGTATCCGACGGAACAAGATAACCATGATGGAAATGACGACTAGCCTCCAGGGGGCAAGGCCATGTGCTTGCGCATTGAACTGATCCCATGGGATGATGGTCCCAAAGTAGACAAAGTAGGCCAAGTTGAGAAGCAAATCGATCACGTTGGAGACATGGGACTCTTCCGTCTTTTCGGTGAACCAACCGTCGTTCGAAAATCCAACTCCAGCGGCGAATCCAATGAGAAGGTCATCCATTCCCAACATACTTCCAGAGCCGGCGCAGAACAAGGCCAGGACGAAATAGAACACGAGAAAACTTTCGCGATCAATTAAGCCTTTTCGTTCGGCAAATTTGATGGCGTGACGGCCCATGTACCCGACCATGACGCCGTAGAACGCGCCGAAAATGCATTCATAGAGGATAGTGTAACACGTCCAATGAAAGATGACCTCTCCAGCGCGAAGATGGTATCTCACCAGGTACAGAGACAGATAGATGAATGGAAAGGCCATTCCGTCGTTACAGCCAGATTCGGCAGACAGGACATCTCGAAGATGTTTGGGAACTCTTTTTGCGAACTTGCCCTTTCCCACGACCGATGAAGCCAGGACCGGATCCGTGGCCGTGACGCAAGCTGCGACGACCAGAGACTCCAGCCAGCTAAGCGGAACAATCATCCACCAAATGAACAGACTGGTGATCAGCCAGCCAAAAGTCATAACCGGGACCAAGAGGAAGACCACCGACTTCCAGTGTCGTTCCATGTAGGCCTTCGGCAACTCGACGCCGACGGCAAAACACTGAACCACCAGGACGATGCGGGAGAATTCGAGGGTAATCTGGTCGGTGTTGCCCCATGTCAGAGGGTTGATGAGATTTGCGGCATGAGGTCCAAATATGACACCGCATATTGTAGCCACGGTTGCTTCACCAATGTATAGTTTCTCCTTGATGAAGAGCGAGCATAACATGAATATGCTAGTAAACCCTCCCAGGATGATGTACACCAAGTGCGGTTTGTCTATGCTGAGTTGGTGCCACGCCATCTGGGACAGATGTCGTGAAACCTAGGAGTCGTACAGAGTCGCGAACGTCTTTGGTGTCAGATTTGGCTTGCAAGAGAAATTGTAGCCAGGATTTTTGGGCTTCAAGCGACAGGTCCCTCCCGTATGTATTTCTAGAACGTGTATAGATATTGGATTTATATCGACGACAAAGTTATATTGCCTGCTAAGCAGTGCTATCCCCAGTCGTTTCCTTCTCTTTGGTGAAGATCGTGATGCAGAACCCACCGCATTCAGAGAGCGTCTGTAAGCATTTGTGGTTGAAGCAGCGTAACAGTAAGGAGTCTATCTCGAAGGGAGGTGGTGATCGGGTGCGGCGACAAGGGAAGTCTATAGTGAGCGTCGACTCCAGAATAGAGAGGGACAGTACGGCGGTAGGCGAATGAAAGGATTGAGGGGGCGGAAGGGGATGAACGAAAGCCCACCGGGAGGGTTGCTATATGTACTGTGGTGGGATTCCGATGTTGAGTTGACAGAGTGGGGAAGGGAAGGCTTTTGTAGGTACAGCGTTCGTGCAGTCTGGGCAAAAATGATGAGAAACTGTTGTAGCAAGTGAACAAAGCACACTCAGCAAAGAGAATCTTGGAAGTCTTGTTTGGGTATTGGGTATCTATGTGAGAGCGAAGGAGCAGCGTCCAAGTAAGGCCAAGTTGACGTGAGGAGTTCTTTTTTTTGAGCCGAGATCGTATTAAGTCGCCGAGCCTTGTCGAATGCAGATCCGGCGGTCTTGGGGGACTTGGGGGACACTTGGGGGGAGCATGCTTGAGCATGGCACTGCGCATGGCACCAGGCGTGGCCACTGGGCGTGGCCACGCGCCTGGTGGGGTTGGTGAATTATTGGGTTAGTGTTGCGGTGCCGGGCCCCGAACCAACCACAAGCGGGCGCCACGCCCACGCCACGCCCACGCCACGCCCACGCCTGGGCCACCGGGCATTCGGCTTGTAACAAAAACACCCCTAACTAGGTCCTACCTAAACAATTATTCTGTCCCCTGAACTCGGTACCTCGTACCCTGTACTTCCTTCTCATCCATCTCCCAGTCTACCCATGATTGGCACCCGACAGGAGGCAAATTTGGGGTTTGTAGGTATTGTTCAGCCGCTGCATCTGGCCGGATTATCTCGGTGGCCGCTTCTGCTTTGGTGTTCCACTCCCACCCTTTGGGCCATGCTCCATACATATCGATCCCGATGAGAGTGGGACGTCAATTCTACTGCAGCGCCTGATGGTTGGTTGCTTGCCTCCAAGGGTCTTGGATTTAAGAAGAATGGTCCGACTTGGCTACATGAAGTTACAAGACCTCCTGAACCGCCATTTCCGGTAGCAGATCTCTCTGACCGCTTACGAGACTGACCGACTCGGTGGGACAAGGACTAATCACGTACATCGAGGCTGTATCTCCTCAACTTACTCCCCGTTTATTGGTAAATCGCAGTCGCTTGAATTTACCTAACGGTATCCAAAGCAAACATGTGACAATGCTCGATAACAACTATCGTCCATTCGTGGTCAAGATCCGCTTGTGCTGCATATCGATTCCTCAGAAGAAACAGAAGCCTGCTGTCGTTGCGGCGCATGACCTGGTCCTGCAAATGCTAGGATAAAAAAAGGATCCAGGTCTGCCCTCGTCGTAGCTGCAGGCTGCGGACTGCCAGGTCCTCATACGGCTCCCCTTCCGCTCAAAGCTGGGGGAGCCACCCAAATGTTCAACCAAACCATCCCAATTCATTGAACCTCACCAGGGCGACCCCCGAGCTTGGTCCACGTCGACGTTTTGCATTTGTCCATCAAGATCTTCCTCCAACGTACAATTACAGTTCATCGACTGCGTCGCTCGTTAAAAATCAAGCCTCCCACCAAGATAGATCCACAGTCAGGCCTTCCCGTGATATGTCCCATATGTACTCCGCAATCAAACGATTCCCGAACTTTTGGAATGTCCCTGTACCAGAAATGGTTCGTCTCCGCAGACTTTTCGCATCACAGATTTTGTCGCTGTGGGGTATATTGCGATCATATGTCCTGATAATCATATCGACTGGTATCGTCAAGATTCGAGTCCAAATTAAAACAAGTGTCTCAATCCACCATGCATCGGTCATAGTTGCGAAAGGAAAAAGATAATTAGGTTGGTCGACATGACCTCGAGATAGGTGTCTGGGTTTGGCTGCATGTCATCACGACTTCGAAACCGAAGCTAATGCTCTCTCCTTGATGTGCCCTGCCTGAGTCTCCAGGGATCGCGCCATGAGCTTGAAGACTGTGTCACAGGTTTAGCATACTGTATCCCGACGCGTAAGCATTTACTCACCAGGCCACACAGAGTCCCTTCCTAGTATGTACGCCGTCAGTGCAAGGATTCTGCTACCATGGCCGCCTTCTCGTGCCGCCGAAAGATCAAATCCGCCCTGGGCTTCAACTTTGTGTTCGGCGCTCGTCAGAATCTCGTCGATCTTGTGAATCAGTGACCGATCTTCATCCTCGAGGAGAAGGATGCCCGGTACTTCTACCAGGTTCATGACGTCGCGGCCAATGACACCCAGGTATTTGCCAACCCGCTCCTGTACGGTCGCGATCCACTCTGCTAGGACTTGCGCACAGTCAAATGCACACATCGCCGATTGCGTTGGTAGCTCCCGAGAGGTGTGTTCAGCGAAACTCAGACCGAGTTTGTCAGACATGGCCAGGGAATCGGCGGCGTAAAAGGCTGCCTTCCGAAGGTGTCGTTCGCGCCGAGACGAGTGCGATTGCAGCCGCTCCTGCTCCTGTTCTCCTGGCTCCACTTTCATGCCCTCTTCCACGGGAGTCGGCATTTGCTCTTGATTCTTGCTATCTGGATTTTGAGACGAAGAGTTGCAGTGGCGGTCTGCTTTGCCCGTTTCCTGACCCGGGACCGCCTCTGAGCCTTTGGCCAATTCTTCCGCCATGGCATCGTAGTCCCGTTGCCAGAATGCCTCCTTCGACCTGCCGAAATTGACAAAAAGTCGGATGTAAGCGAGGTCAAGCAAAGGGACGCAGTCCGCGGATAGGGGCCCGTCGCCAAATGGATTGGGTCGCTCAATACTATGCTTAGGACTGCTCGCCCATGCGGCTTGCCAAGCAGTGAGTGCCGGTTCGATGTGTGCATGCATCTGTTCAGTCTCGCTTGCGGTCCACTGCCGTCCCAGATGCCGTTGTCGCGTTTCCCAGATGTAGTTATGTAACGCATTGATCAGAATCAAGCAGCCGAATGAACTTGGTGTGAGCTCCAGCTCGCTTGTCGGCGCGACTGCGCTTACATTACTGTTCCGCCGTCGCTTTCGGTGTGCGGACATGAGCAGGTGTGTCAATGACGCGGCAAAGGTGAGAGCGCCCGTCTCCGCGCTTGCTCCTCCTAAATGGCGCCACATCTGCACAGACTCGGCAGCCCAGAGTTCTTCGGCACAGGGCAGATTCAGTCGGATCTCAGAATTGGTGAGTGCCGGTGGATGGTTATAAGCCGTCACAAGCATGCTCGAAAGGATAAAGACCGCATACAGAGTTCGCTTACGTTCTTCCATGACCTTCCACTCAAACCAGTCCGAGTCGTCGATTTCGCTGATCATTGAGCTCCAGCCGTTGTTCGGCATGCCCCCTATCTGGAGGTTGACGTTGGTATCGTTGGCCCCTGTTCCGCTGTAGCCCTGAGAAGGCTTTGCTAGCTCGGCACCGCGAGCAAGGCTTACCAAGGCAGCACAATGGTTACTTGCAAGCTCAGCTGCTGTTTTATCGCCACAGTTATGGCCATAAATCACGTTCAACAGCATAGCCTGGACCAACCAGAGTGGCGTATCCTCCCGCTCAGCAGAATGTCGAGGGCCGAATTGGGTTTTTGTCAAGTTAGCCTTGCGCCTCTCTTCGAGGTAGCTGCTAATCAAACGCTTGGCACATTCGAAGAGCTCTCTAGACTGAGACACCTCATGCTCATAGAGAGCCCCGATGGCAGCAATTGCTAAGATCAAGCAACTGCCTCCTCCGGCTACAGTAGCCTGGCCAAATTGAGATTGACCGGAAACCAGCCTGATTGGAGTTGTATAGTCCGGTGACTCAAAATTGAGGGTCGGGATGTGGAGGAAGGGAAGGTGTGGGTGGAAGTATTTAATATAGGCAGAAACATATCGCTGCAACTCATGTGTGCTTGGAAAGGTGCTGGCGTTGAATCCTTTCGTGCGGCTGTTGGAGCTTGGAGACAGCGGCGAACTGATTGCAGGTTGGGAGTACTTGCGCTGTCCGAACCCTGCATTTTGAGAAAGACCGGCTATCAAAACATTCCGAATATGATCATTGACCAAATCTGAGGACATTGTTGTAACCGAGCTCTGACGAAGACTACTATCCATCGATGTGGTAGATGTAGTAGAGGCAGGTCCGTCCCCAGCGAAGGGGAGCTGGTAACCGGTAAATTGGGGTGTCGAGTGCATAGCGGAAGCATCCATTGAGGCAAAATCCGGCGGAGTTGGAAGACTAATATCCATAGCGGTTGCTTGACCCAACAAGGATTTCGGTGACACGGTCCCCATCGAAGCACCGACAACATCGTTAAAGTTGGACAACATTTCAATGCTTATAGGACTGTTCAACAAAGGGGCGTGGGCCGCAAGAGTAGTAGACCACATATTGCTTGCAGTGGCTGAAGCTTGCTGCATGGCTGCAATATTGGGGTCGCCGTTCATATCATTTATAGGAGCTGGACTGTTGGTACTCATGGCCGAGGGCGAGGAGTCATCGATAGCGTTCTCATTGGCTTGAGCGAAGGACATTTGGTTCTCGAACCCCAGTGTCATCCAGTCGAAGTTTGCATCATCCTCAGCCATGGCCTGGGAGGCAGTCATGCCGGGGAACATTTGGTGAAATGGTGAAACCGAGGGGTCAATCCCCAGCCCTTGTAAGTTGGTCATATGTAGTGCGTGAGGGTTAATAGTATTTCCCTGGTCGCAGTCGAACCCATTTCCAAATTCGGCACCGAACCCTCCAAAGGGAGGCGCCGTGCGGAGGCCGCCTGATGTATCCGACGGCAGTCCAAGGGTCTCTAACTTGGGCAAAAAGACATGTTGGTTTCCATTTACACCGCGGTATTGATAGGAATGAATACCCGACAGAGCCGACATGCTGTTGTGGTGGTTATGACTTATTGAGGGTTGACGGCCAAGGTGAGCGACGGAATCGGATAACATGCTCAGCCTCCTAGTGGTAGAATCCACATGGCTGACCGTGTTTGCTCTCGGTCTCATTGTTGTCGTGCCGCTCGTGGTAGAGTTTTTGCGGACACGACCACTGGCGACTCCCGCAACACTTTCCCTACGTCCAGACCGTGGTCGTGCTGACGGTGTCGTTGAAGAGTGAAGTTTCTGCTGGTGTCGGAGTAACAAGTCACGCCTGGCGAAGCAGCGAGTACACTCCGGACACGCGAATGGCTTTTCCTTGGTGTGAGATCGCTCGTGCCTTTTGAGATGCTCTAGGCGAGCAAAGGAACGCATACAAGTCAAGCACACATGAGGACGAGGCTTGTCTGTCTTCGGGGGAGCAACAGCCGGATTTGGCACTATGGTTCTGGATGCAGCAGAGACCTTGGTCGATGGGGTCTTGTTGGCTAGAGCTTTGTCGACGGGCGCCTTGCTTGCTGAGAGGTGGGGATGAGCCTTCAAACACAGATTGTCGGGCAGTCTCCTGAAATGACTTACCGATTTCTAGGGCGGCACCTTCCTCGGTCTCATTTGAAGGTGCCTCTGGGGAAGCCGCCTCTGGGGAAGTCACTTCCATACTGTCGACGAGTGTCCTGTTCTCCTCTTCCGCCATTGCTATTATCAGCTTCGATTGTCTGTTGCGTTCGGCGCTGTGCACCGTGCCTGAGAACCAAATTCTCCGTACAATCTCGATCTGGTGAAGCCTCGCGTACTGCAGAGCAAGACAGAGAAGGTAATTGGGAAGGTCGCATGCGCGGAGGACAGGTTGTCGCTAGTATTATGCTTTAGCCTTCCTGATTTAACGTAACACTCTGAAATGTTCCTAGGGAGCAGGTGGACGGCGAAATCAATTCGCCATCTGCATCCAATCCTTGAAGACAATGTCGGATGCGCCTAACAGGCAGAAGGTAGGTAGACTCGCAGGAACTGTCGCGCTCCAGGCGGTTGTGAATGAGGAATCCGATGCTCCAGACAGAAATAGTACAGACTGTGCACCAGATTCCAGAAAGGTGGCAATTAAAGGAAGACCGGCGGGGGTTTTAAGAGATCATGTACATGAACAAAGCTCGAGTCTAGTATTCTATGCAGCCTTTAGTACTCGGGGTAACGGATTGGCGACATGTAGCATGCTCCAAGAGAACGAAAACGCCGCTGCGAGGCTCGTACACTCACCTGAGAATATACACCAAGAGTAACAATGTCGCGAAAGATGCGCCCGGTCGACGACCGAGGAGAAAATAGATACTTTGGCCACAGGCCGACAAAGCGAGACAAACCCCCCTTCAAAGATTTTGCACGTCACAGGTGGGTGGCCGGCAATGGTGGTTGGCGGCCACAGATGTTCGCAAGCGTACAGGGTGGCAGTCCAAGAAGCAACGGGATTGGTAGGCTACCACTTCTGGCAGGTAGCTGACCGTTCTGGAACACTGTTGGCCAGAGGATAGACCGTCTTCTGGAGGGACTCTAGTAGCAGAAAGGTAGTCCCGACCGAGGATCAGTGTGTAGTCGGGTATGGTCGTTGGGGGAGGGGGCCTAGGTATAGCTTTTGCAGATGTCCAAGCCACGCCGTTTGTTCTGACGCAGCTTGCGCGAAGAAGGTAGAGGACACCAAGCGGGGGAAGACCCGGGGAAAGGTCAAGTCTCTTTTTCTCTCTGCTCTTGGATTTTGGTTTCCCTTTCTCTTTCTTACTTGGTCGAATAAACCAGGCCGTAAAGGGCGCGATGAGGGTGTAGCGCAAAGCGAGACCAGGTGAGGGAATGGGTAAGCCAGGGGAAGAGATGATCGGGAAATTGACGGGAGATGGCAGAAGGGGGGTGAGAGGGGAAGAAAGAAGAAAAAAGGGAAAAAAAGAGGAAAGATTAGAGAACAATTCTCGTTGCAGGAATTGGTGGTGCAGAGTGCCTTTGCAACGAGATTTTCTCAGCGGGCGAGCAGCAGAAACGGAGAGGTTGAGCTGGAGAGATTCTGGAGTAGCTTTTAGTGGGAGCCCGGAGTCTGGAGTGACAGAAGCGACCGAATCGAACGGCGGCCAGCGACATGCCCATGTACAGGCTTACAGGCCCTTCGTTAGGCTGTGTGGCTGTTATTGGGCAGCGCCCATTGTGACCCCGGAGGGCGGGGGGCGGACTGTTGCCGCATCCACAATGGGGATCAAGACCTGGTGCCCCCCGCTACATGCAACGGGCTAGCTGCTGCCGGACACAGAAAAAATAACTGGGTTGCAGCTTGCAGCGTCTTGAGTCCGAGTATATCCAGGCACGCCTATGCCTATAAGCTAAAGTCACAGGGGCGTGTTCATGTACGGAGCACCGAACCGGTGGTTGCCTGCATGTACCAAGTCCTGTCTCTGCCTTTCAGCCTACCCATAGGTACTTGTTGTTTGGTTAGGTCCACGTCCTCCCGCAAGTACCTTTTCATAAATGACTCGATACCGGTGTGTGGTAGGAAGGTCAGAGTAAGTAGGCTTTGACTGACTCTCCCAGACCCAAGATTCGCACTCTACGCCCTCCTGGGGTTGCGAACACTGTGGGTTTCGGTTCCACAGTTTGTGCGCCGCCACACTGGCAGACAAACCCTACCCAAGATACTCCCTGTATGTACTGTACAGGCGGCCCCCATCTCCATTCTCCATTCCGCACCCTCCACCACACAAGTCCCTTTTGTTTCAAGAACTGCTTTCCTACATACCTAGTACTACGCACTTCCTGTCAACACGCTGCCCTTTTTGATGCACATGTACTTCGGTACTTGAACACAGAGGCAAGTTCCGGCTTCACGGGAAGGAATGCGACATGCAGGCTACGAAGCGACAACTCTTCTCTCACTCTTCCGTTCCCGGCCTCTCTCGATTCTTTTAGCTGCGCAACCACTGGGTCCCTTTTCTCCCAGCGTCTCTCTCCTTGCAGGCGCCGTCAAATGCCAACCATGTGTGGCGCAGAAAATAAGCACAACTCCCCAGTTCAAGTGACTCAGGTTAAGGCATCTCCTTAGGCTGGGTGGAGGAGGGAGAGGTGGATTCAGAGTGGAACGTTCCCTCTTGCATAGACCAACATGCAGCTCATCTCCAGGGTTCTCAGATCAACGCGCAATCCTGGTGTCCCTCTCTGTCGCCTGTCTGTCTGTCACTCGAGTCAATCTCTCCCCAGATTTCAGGTGAGCATCATCACTCTATGGCCCCATCATTGTCGTGCTCATTGAATGTATGTAATCACGATCAGCTCAGTGATCAATGCTTTACTAACAGTTCACTAGCTGTTGACAAGAGCTTTGCCGGAAATGCCTTCCAGCTCTTGACATATTCAACGTCTCCCACAAGTATGACCCGAAAGTATCCTTGTCGTCTAATCCAGAGAAACTACGTACTTGCTACATGGTCGCATCGAAATCAACCCGCCTTCGTACTCGTTCGACACATGGATGGTGCGGATCCACACTGCCGTTCCCATCCCCAGCACCCGGCTTGCAAGTGGCCCAAGCTCCTCCTCCCTCTGCTAAGGATCATTTGCTCCCATCCTTGAAACTCTCACACCTTGTGCAACCCGCTGCCGGGTTGGTCTTCCAAATAATTAAGAGCCTCTACACCAGTTGTTGCCGGCGCTTGTCAACTTAATGCACCTGCTTCATTTCCTAGCTCGGGTGCTGCTCTCTCCCGTCACTGCCCGGAGACCGGGATTGATCTCATTACCATCTTTCGAGAAACATGCCTCATCAACTCTCCAACGACGGCAGGGTCTGCCAACCGCGCTAATAATGGTAATCCGTCTGGGGGATACCTGGCATTCGCCAATGTCTGTGAGGCCTTGATAACGGTGGTACGACGAACGGTGGACTCTATGTACTAGCAGGGGCCCTCTGGAGCTAGGTAGGGCACTTCTTCGAGAGCTCCACCGGGAGTACCAGACTGGCTATAACATTGATCGATCTCATACTCCTCCGGGACGCCCAAGGATCGATGAAAATGTTTTTGTTTTGGTCTTCGTGCAGATGTTTGGTGATCTAGCCCTGGTTTCTAGACGGTCGCCACAGAAGAAAAAGGATGCCGTGTCTGCTGATCCTTGAGGGTTGAGCATCGACGGAGTACTATACACTTGCGTTCTGAACGGGCTTCCCAAATAGTGGTACCTCGAGCGAAGATTTGGTGATCCGAATCCCTCTGGCCTTGGGGGCCCCTGGTGGCCCTAGAGTGGTCCGAGTGTCCGCGCTAATCCGCAACTGAGTGCAAATCTGGGGTGGTCATGAGGCCGGGCACGATCAATGATGTACTCCGATCCGAAGAGTCAATTTTCGGCGCCCATCCGCACAATCAGCGGTGTCGCCTTTGCTTTCAAAGGCGTGCCAGGCGCTTCTGAAGACTTGTTGGCAAAAAGGCCTCCTTTGCTTACTGCTGGATTTCGGCGAAGGAGCGATATGTCGCCAAGTTAGGTGTCGAAAATTGCCGCAAATCCACCTCCCCCTTACAACAAAGGATTCGTCGGTTGCTCAATGCGCTTACCAGGTTGTTTGCCGGTGCGACCAGGCGAATGTCAACATGCTGACAATCGCAGTGATACGCTTCTGGAGCCTTGGGAAGATGAGCCGTCTTACATAGTCCTCAAGCTTTGTCTGCATTGGCTAAATATCTCTCAGCCTCGAGGGACATCCACCTCGGGAAGCACTTCCAAGTTTTGGGACCTGACTCGAACGAACAATCTCATCCAATAGGTTTGCAGAAGATCCAGCAAGGCCACGAGTCCTACCCGCCGTGGCCGTTTGGGAAACATTTTGAAAAAAGCGGCAAAGCGGCCGTCACTTTACTCCCGTCACCAATAACAAACAGTCTCGAGAAATCCCGTACCGCAAAAGTGAGCACCTGATATGTTCCGCGGCGTCATTTAGTCCACGAATGCCGCTAGGAGTTTTGGGCCGTCTTCCAGCAGCATTGGTCGAAACTTTGTGAGGACCGAGGGAAGGCTGCGGACGGCTCGGTATAATCGCAAGGCGAGTTATGTTTCGATTGGCCAGAATATGAAGGAATGAAGTGAACACTGCATAAGCCGCCCGTTAGGTCGACTCCGAATAGGAGAGATTCATTGATGATGCCGGGGCGACCTCGCACTTCGAAATTGAACTACTGCTGGCCACGATGTCTCCATCATTTCGTAGGTGGCTTTTCAGGGTAGCGCAATCCTCAGTGAGATCCAAAACTCCCAAAACGCTAATGCGGAGGTAGCTGCAGCGTGTACACGAAGGAGGACCATCACTAGAATCCATTCTAAATTAGAATGTTCGATTCTGAGTTTCTACCTGCTTCATGCACATGGGCTCGATGGGCTCGATGGCCTGCCGGACTCAGTGCCGCATCAGCGGCTTGGTCCTCATGCAGCTGATCCCACAGAAATGACGTCTGTGACGACGCTCATCTGTGGCCACAAAACGAGATGGAACAACAAGTCCCATTCGAGCGTTGGGTCAAAAAGCATCTGAATCGACGCAATGACGTTGCATTTCGTCCAAGGGAACGATCATCAGATGCGCAAGACGATGTTCATCACCAGCGCTCACTTACCTCCAAGATCCCCTAACTCTAAGCCTTACCGGAACTTTATCCTGGAACACTTTTTGCAACCTCAAGG